GACTAAAACCCTGCATGTTATTTTCAACAATTATGCTTAAATGTGCACACATCACATATCTTATGTGACAATGTAAATTTTGAAATCAGGTCAAAGTTAACTAAAAACAACTAGAGTTGCAGCTGTGTATTTAACCAGTTAATTTTATTGTTACAGCAAAATGATGTTTTATTGGGGGGGTTATATCAACTAGATCAAATTATTGTGGGGGTCATAACSCCCCTAACCCCCCTGCAAATTACGCCTATGATCGCTGTAATCAGTTTGCTCGTGGTCCTCAAGTTTCTTCAACTCAACTTGAACCTTACTGTTCTCACACGGGGCCTGAAATCCCGCCCTTGAGCTCAATAAAACATTCTTGTTTACATCTACATTCGTGCTCGTCAGTGTGMAGCCATGGAGTCACGAGCAGATCGGGATTCAACCCACTACATTTTTTTTTTTACGTGGGTCTTCTATCCCACTAAAACAAAACTAAAAAAATAGAGATGGGTTTTTGTTTTCTAATCTTTTGGGGACTTTTTGATGAGCAGTGTGTGCAAAACGGAAATCCTTTAACAAGTGGATGAATCAAATGTCAGAATGAAACAGTTCGTCTGGACAGCTGGGGTCAAGAGATCAAGAACACTTTCTCTTCCCTTGTTTTTCTGGTTGAAAAACAAATCAGGAAGGCTTTCACTTAGAATTTATCCAGGCCCTGCAGCTGTGAGCTGAAGGATGCCAGAATCTCTCAGAACATGGTGATTGTCTCTTCATGGACTAGGTCAGCCTGCTGTTACATCTGATTTATTTGAATATGTTCTATTGCACTTCCTGTCCAACAGGCAGGACAGTCCATTCGTAGAATTTAACAACACAACACTGCRTTAGGGACAGGCTGAAGAGCTTGATTTAAATAGTTTATTTAAACTCTTTTAAGACTTCGCATAAAAGGAGCCATCTTATTTTGTCTTTCTCTCATCATGCAAGTCACAACAATTCCTATCTTATTCACGTAATCTTTTGCTCATCATCCTCTTTTAACGACATTTGGACGTAAAGCAGATGGAGACAAAAGATTTAGAAAAAAAATTGCCATACAATAAACAACCAGCCGCCTGAATTATTTACATTCTTTTAGTGAGAGTAAAGATTTTTTAATGGTTTTTTTTTTGTCCAAACATGCAAAAAGCTAATAATTTTCAAAATTGATTATAGATTTTGAGCTTAATATTACAAAATGAGAATTTTTAAAAGAAGCATCTGTATGTAGATACTTTGATAAAAGCATTGTCCTACCCGGAMTCTGCACCAGTGTTACCAGGAGAGTTTTAGTCATTTGTTTATGTATTTCGAAACCTCTCTAAAAGGTTTTATCTGGTTTGTTTTGGTTTGAAAAATTGTTGAGATTTTGGCACATTTTACGTTTGTGGGGCTCTGTGATCTTTTTATGGTGCTATGCATGTAATGCAGGACTCGCTTCCTAATCTTCAACCTTTGATAACCTCTAAATAAGAGGAGCCCAAAGTGGGGCCCGCGAACCAAATTTGGCCCGCCAAGACATTTGATTTGGCCCACCAGCAGCTGATATAGTTACTAGGCTGTATGTCCTATGTAGAAACAGTATTTCCACTTAATCCTTTCATCCATTGGCCTAATTATATTTTTCACCCATGGTGCTGACTTTATCTTTGATATATTAAGACTAAACATGAAATATTAAATACATGTAACAAGAGATATTTAGATTATATTTAACCACACACATAGATTTTTACACATTTTACAAGGCGATGACAGCTCATATTTTATCAATTTATAAAATGTCCCATGAGCCTTTGCTACTTGAGCGTATGGCAGACTTTCTCCAAGTGCACAGACTTAAACAAAAGTGGGCCACTGCACTGGCTGCCAGCTTAATTGCTAAAAATAGAGGACTTAACTTAAAAAGTATTTGTATTTCATGTATTATATTACTGCATCTGGCCCGCAGTCCCGGATAGATTTTCATTTTGGCCCCCTTGGGGACAATGTTTG